AAGAAGAAAACAAATCCTACCATTTGCAACAACATGGATGGAGCTAGAGGGTATTATGCTCAGTGAAATAAGCCAGGCAGAGAAAGACAAGTATTAAATAAATTCACTCATCTGTGGAGTATAAGAACAAAGAAAAATACTGAAGGAGCAAAACAGCAGCAGACTCCCAGAACCCAAGAATGGACTAATAGTTACCAAAAGAAAAGGGACTGGGGAGGATGGGTGGGAAGGGAGGGAAAAGGAGGGGTGGGGAAAGAAAGGGGGCATTATGAGTAGCATGTATAATGTGGGGGGAGGTATGGGGAGGGCTGTGCAACACAGAGAAGGCAAGTAGTGATTCTACAACATGTTACTACACTGATGGACAGTGACTGTAATGGGGTATGTGGGGGGCACCTGGTGATGGGGTAAGTCTAGTATATATAATGTTCCTCAAAAAAATAAATAAATAAAACAACTAAGTAAGTAAATACATAAATATCATGCATGAATAATCAAAAAGAAATAGTGCATTGGTTCTAAATTTGAAGAGATGTTGGAGATTACAACAAATATGTTTTATTTATTGAGGATTTCTTACTGTAGCTATGAAAAGTCTGTAAGTTTACTTAGTGAATTCAAACCTGAAAACTTGTCTCCTACCATCACTAAGAAGTTATTTTGAATGAACAGCTAACTTCTTTAGAGCAGACAGACAGGTTTCACTGGAATCTTTTACCATAATTACTAAAACACAGTATAGAACTAATATCCACATCCATGAACACTAAAATTTTATTAATTCCCCAAATTTCTATTTCCCTTATTATAATTCTAGTTAACAGTAAATGTTGAGAGGACATCTTAAATTACATAGTTTTTTTTCACATTAATAAGCATCCTTTAACATCCATGGATTGAATCTAGTCATCCAAATTCAGTTAGATATCAAATCTTAACTGAACTACAGTATTTACATTTTAAGGGATGATTTTTCACTTAAAGTCATGGATAAATGTGATATTATGTTGCCCTATAATTATGCCCAGTATCATCTTATCAGAAAATGTCCATGGCTAATACAGGATGAGCCTAAAATAATTCCTATCCCAGCTGATGGAGTCTAACTATATAATCATATTCTTTCAATAACAACAGAGAAGCAGCTTTAAATAGTAATATAAAATAAGGCGGCTTAAGGAAATTCTTTGAAAAGTCATCTACAAGTCTAGACATCTGAATAAATGAATAAATCTTGTTTTCCTACTTTACATTTACATCTCTAAGTATAATGATTTAACTATAGTTCTGGAGGAGGGTACAATGAGATGAAAAATATTCTTAATAACACAATATATCCTCTCATCACTGGCATTTCAAATTATTGATAATAATCTTATATACCTGTGGCCTTATGTTCAGGTTATACATACAGTGTATAAGAATATGCCTTGATAGTTTTCTGTATTTGTAGATGATTGGGCACTAAATAAATAAAATACTCCAAAACAGGCATATTGAAATAAACAATGAAATGCTGATAAATAACTTTTGGTAATAAACAATAATAGTGATTAATAATCCTAATACATAATAATAAAGTCACATGTCAGTGAGTTCCATAACATACTCTGAAGTCTGATGAAATTTACTCTCTCTTCTTTAGAAATGATGAAATATTCAAGGAAGTATATTGATCTGACTTAAACAGCACCATAATAAAAAAAGACTGAGACCCAGAATCTGGGTCTAGAATCCTGAGTTCTAGAATCCTGGCTCTGACATTTATCATGATGTAATTAAAGGAAACCCTGGCCTGGAATCCAGGAGACAAGCGTTTAGTCCTAGTTCACTCATGAGCCATGCAATGTGGAGTCATTTAAAAGGTTTCTTTGGCTTTCTGAACCTGTTTTCTCATTTATAAAATAAAGGAATAACTCAAATGTTCCCTAAGATACCATCTGGCTTTAATGATCTGTGGTCTATGACCTTAATTCTAAAAATGACCTATACAATAAATCACTGAGGAAGATAGTGAACTACATTGTATGATGATACATTTGCTTTACGAAGGCACTAGACTGCAACTTGGAGGAAACATTTTTAAAAGGACAATTTAAAAAAGAGTATTAGGTTCAGGTCTATTTCCATTTATTTATTTATACTTTTGGCAAATATTTATTGAATATCTACTTTGTTCTAGATACCATGCTGGGAGTTCAAAGATAAATAAATACAATCTTTGTCTAGTGATAGAGAGACAAAAGTAACATTGAAGATAGAAAACTATTTACTCATAATCCAGTTTTTGAATCATCTTTATATTTATATCACATTAATTCAATTTATTGACCACATTTTCAGAAATGAGCTTTTACTTTTACTGCATCTCTTGAGCCATAGATATTATCAAAGTAATTATTTAACTCTTATTTATATATTTCTTATTTTAATGTTTAGAACATCATTAGATGAAAATATAAACCAACTCCTTAGTAATTCATCAATGACATTTGTTCAAATATTAAGTTTCATTTTAAAAATATAAAAAAGTTAAGTGCAGCTTTGGGCTTATTCTCCTGCTTAGAAACTAGCAAATTCAAACCCCACAAACCTTTTTATGACTTAAATAACAAACGGAAATGTACATTCTTAAAAAGAAGTGAAGATACACTGCTTGTTACACACACCTAATTCATGAACTGATCTGCTTATTAAACAAATTGGCAAAAAAAAAAATGAAATGGATGAAGAAAATAAGCATACAAGGGAAAATTTTAAAATAGAAGAGTGATTCATGATAATTAAAATTTCCTCTATAAATCACTACAAGGGGCATTAAGGAAAACAATCTACATATTACAAATTACAGTTAAGACTACATATGTGTTTAGTAACTGTGGATGTTTTGAAATTCTTAGAAATCTTAAACAGTACTGGGCAAAGGTGTATACTAAGATTCTGGATATATATTTATTTTGTGCAAAAAATAACTTCTACTATGTATTTGGCACAAATTTTAGAATAGGTTTCTTAACAACCTTTTATTTCTCTTGATATTTCAAGAGAAGTCATATAATACACATTTTAAGTGTGTTTATAACTTGTACATTTGTAACGTGTAAGATACTCTCCTTTTATTTTGTTTAGAGTCAACTTAATTAAAATAAAAAGAAACATTGTTTCATTTGTCTTTTCAACTTCTTCCGAAGGGCATCACACATGATGGAACTTGTAATTTAAGGGTCATATTATAATTAAAATAAGTCATTACCCAACTTTATAAGGCTTTGTTTGTATACTTTACAAGGACAATAGAGATACTGGGTGTCTCTTGATAATGACTAGTGGGGAAGAGTTGCTTTTTCTGTTCATCATTAATCTCCAGGAAAAAGTTTATAAAGGACAATATTACAATTCTTAAATTAATTGTAGATAGAATGATTTATAAGTTTAAGTGAAATTCATTTCATGGATGCATTTCAGGAACTTAAAGTAATTCTTTATGCATTATATATTTAAACTCTCCTATATTTATCTCAACTAGCTTTTTATTTGTAATTAAAGTTAACAAGAACTTTCCTTTTTTTAAAGAGGTGGTGTGGGTTCAGAATTGAAAAACAATACTAATCTAGTCTATTAAGTTTAATGCTTAGGATAATAGTAGCTACATTCAAAATACTGAATACTAAAGTTTCTGAGTACAGCATTATTCCAATCTTTAGAAATTGTTTCTTACTGCCTGTTGAATAAAATGCAAACTCTTATGCCCAGTGCTCCAACTCTTATGCCGGCTTGTACCTTTCCACGCACCAGCTCACCATTGTTAACATGTGCCCTACACAGCGACTTCCCCCGTGGTGCTGCAGAGAACTAGGGGAATGTAAGTGGCAACTAAAGAGTGGCTGTGGGTGAGGGAAACCTGAAAATAGGAATAAACTTTATTTCCTTTAGATTTTATCAAGTGAGACCCTTAATTTACAGCCTTTAATTATTTGTATTTTAGGACAAAATAGTCTTTTATCCTCACATTTCTATCAAGTTAAATAAGTATTAAAGTATAACATTGTACTTTACCATATAATCTTATAAATATAGAAATGAAAAAGCATTAAAAATATTTTGTTTTGGTCACACACAAAAAAGTTCATATTAGTCTTTATTTACTATTCTATCAGCTAAAGTTTTCTTTTTAAAGTTAAAAGATAATTTGACTTTATGCACTTCTTAAGTAAATAGGCTTTTTAAAAAATACACATATTTCTTACAAATAATTAAAACAATGTTTTATTATAGAGATAAGGCCTAGCCATATATGAGAGCATAACCTATTACAATGTCTACTTTTCTCTGATTAATGCCAACTGACTGTTTTTGAAGTGCTATATTATTACCATAGAATAAACCCTAAATTATAATAGTAAACACTGACCTTATAATTTAAAAGACAAATATTTCTTTTAAGCATTTCATTTCTAGAAATCCCAAATTCTTCCTTCTACTAGTTCATGCAGCTTAAAGTACAAATATTTTTGTTGTTATTCATGACTGCTGTTCAAATTTCTGATTAAATTTTAAAACAAGACATTTTAAGACCTAATTAAATCTCAACTATAAATAAAATAATGTAACAATGATGAAGCCAAATGTTTGACTAGTATGCTCTATGTTAGATTAGCAAAGACTTAAAAATTAAAAAGATTCACCATAAAAGGATGTTGTGAACAGTATATTAAATAATTAATACAGAGTCCTAAAAACAGTGCCTGGTACACAGTAGGGTTCAATTAATTATTAAGTGGATGGTCATTATAAAATAGATCTTAGATTGATACCAGTAAAATTTCTCATTTAATAGCTTAGCCAATTTCCATGTAAATTATTGAAGCCCCATGAAATAATGAAGTGACATTATATTTAAATTCTAAATATACAAATGAAATCTTGCACATACGGTATCTCCTATTAGAGTGTCTAATATTGTTGAGTTTTCAGCAGAGTTTACTTTTGGTCAAATACAGTACAATACTGCCATGCAGAATGAGAAACTGGATGGAAGCAACTTGGAAGGTGGTTCACAACAAGCCCCGTTTACTCCTCCCAACACCCCAGATCTACGAAGTCCCCCAAATCCAGAAGACATTGCACCAGGTAACTAAACCCCTTACAAATAGAATAATAAAACTGCTGTGCACTTAAATATATTATTCAAGTCATTCAGATTTAATAAATGGTGTCTAAATGATAACAGTTTTTCTCATTATATATTTCTTCTGGGTATAAGTTAAAGACATATGTAAAGATTTAGACTTCAAAGAATCATGTAAAACATTTAGTGATCTTATGCTCTTTAGATGGTCCATTGTATTTGATATAACAATCATCTGTTATATTAAAAATGAACTCATTTGTAATTATATTGAAATTCTATTTGTAGGACTGTACAATTTATGAAGTGCTCTCATATATACTGTATTCTTTACATTTCACAATAACTCTATGACATATCCTCATTTCACAAATTAAGAAACTGAGGTTATGAATGACTATAAACTCATACTGACTGATCAAGAATTAAATCCAGGTCTGGTACCAAATTTACAGATGACTCACATGATGTGACCTTGAGGAGATTGCTTTCCTTACTTTTTACCCCCTTATGGGACCTTAAATGCAATTCCTTAAGATTGTTCTTTATTATCTTAAAAGAGAAGCAATTCCTTATCCAGTTAGTATAAGCTATTCAAAAGTATTGTTAGATTTTAAAATATTAAAATTTCACAAAAATTATCTGATCTATTCAGACAATACTTTTTCGAAATAATTGACAGCAGCTATCTCCAAATATTTTCTCAAGAGCAATGTATAGGTTTTTTTTATTTCAAGTATTTTATCTTGAAATTAGCAATTCCTACATATTTTTGTAAAATAAACTAAATTTAGCAAAAGTACTCCTAGGATTCTTCTGAAATATCAAGTGTTTTTGACAATATGTAAGTAAAGCAACTGTAACATATTAAATCTTATTTAAAAATAAGCTGAATGTCAATCATTAATGAGCTTAGATTTATTGGGACATTCTTGACGAACACAGTGAGAAAAAGTATTGATAGATGCAGTAACATTGAAGGGGACCAAGTAAATAACTAGAATGCATACAATTTTGAAGTGAAACAGTTTAATAAAATTTTCAAATAACTTTCAAGTAGCCTTTTTTAATGGCAGAAAAGCAAGGAACAGATTCTACGTATATACCATTAAGCATATGGGGAAAAACAAGCTTCAGAATCTGACTTAAGTACTGTGACCTCTTGCTTTCTAACATTTGAAATGTTTGGGTTTTTTTCTTTCAATAGTAGAGAAGACATATAGAAAAGTTTATGTTTGTTCAATTGGTATTCTCATCACTAAGTTAGAACTTTTATTATGTGGTTATCATTATAAACTACGTAATTGAAAAAGAAATAGAAAAACTCATCTCTACCCTGAAAGAATTCATACATAGGACAAATGTTCACACCATATTTATTGTCTCACTATCTCTGTGAAAACATAATATCATATGTACACTTTATTTACTTCTAAGAATATATATACATGTGTATATATGTATATATATACATATATAAATATTTATATAGTAAAAGAAAGTTTAGAAGTATAAATCCATGTAGTTACTTAAAGCTAAATATCCAGTTATTAAATATTAGAAAATATCTCTATAATATAGACTAAGAGAAGAGAGTTTTGAGGTTATCAGATATTTGACATGAAGCAAGAGTAATAGATCCTTCCATCTTGGTAATTTAGGAAACAAATGATAGCTTATCCCAATTTAGCAAAAATTTTTATTGATTAGCCTATTATGATTGCAAAGGTCAACTTTTCTCAAATTATGATGCCATAATACTACAGGAGTAAAGTTCTTTTGAATTTAAATCAATTACACTGAAAACATTTAAAAATCAAACAAGAAATGTTGACATGTAGCATTGCTGAAATATAGAATTTTTGAGAGGTTAAAGATATGCACCTTCATTACTATAAATAATTCAGTATATCAGACAATAAAAATTTTATTAGTATTATCTATAAAAATAAATTGGAATATTAAAAATGCAAAAAATTGATCATTTATTAATCCTTAATGCAACAATTATGAAACCCTTAAAATGATTTTAAAGATGATGTAGAAATATTCAAAAATATTTGAAACAAAGTTAATTAGAAATAAAATACCAAATTACATTTATACACTAGAATTATGTGATCATTATGTTTATGGGTAAAGAAAAACTGGGGAAAAATACACAAAAGTAAAGTAATTATATTAGGGTAGTGGGATTTCAAGGAATTTTTTTAAATACAGAATTTTAAAATTTCCAGTTTCTATATGGCTAATATCTAATCAACTTCAGGAAAAGAATAGGAAATAAAATGTGGTAGTTATGATAACAGAGTTTTGCATACCATGCAGATGGACAGCACATGAAAAATAATTCCACTTTCCTGTGGGAGACAGGAATGACTACATAGATAGGTAACCTCAAGCTAAGGCTTAAATAGGAATTTTCAGGTGCCAAGAATTAGGGAGAGCACCTCAGGTATGGGGAACAAATGAAACAAGTAGGGAGGCTTAAGGGGACAGAGCCAGTTTCAAGTAGATCCAGGTTCTGGAGCATAAAATGTGAGAGGAGGAATGGCAGGAGACAAGGCTGGACAGGTGGGCAGGGCCCTGTGTGTCATGCTGAGTAATTTCCGTTTATGCCGTGGGGAGCCACTAAGGCATCCTGAGAAAGGGAAGTGAGTGACATAATCAAGTTTCCATTAGAAAGGGCACTCGGGCAGCAGTGTAGAGGATGCCTGTGAGAGGGGTTGAGAGCTAATGGATTCACAGAAAGCCTACTGGGAAAGTTCCGTCAAGAGATGGGCAAGGCTGAATCTGGGCAGTAGTAATGGGAATGAAGAGCAAAGAGATTCTCTAAAGCAAAGTTTCCCAATGTTCTGTGTGACAATCACTTACATAAGATTTGTAAGCCATACCTGAGACTCACTGAAGCCAAATCTCTAAAGGCAAGAACCAATTACCGACATTTAAAATAGATGTCCAGGGTGATTCAGAAACATAGAGTTTGAGAGCCACAATTTTAGAAATCCTTAAGTATAGCTGGTAAAACTTAGTGATTCGTTGTGAGGATGAGGGGAGTTTAGGATAATGCTCTGTCTTAGGCATCTGAGGGTAAATGATAACATTCACTAAGATGACCAATATAAAAAAGCAGTATGTATTAAAACATGGATGCATATAGGTCTAAACAGGTTTTAAAAGGTGCCAAGTGCATATTCATTTGGACATACAATAAGTGGTTGAATAGAAGGGTCTGGAGATTAAAAATCAAAACTTGGAATCATCAATATGTACATCATAACTAAAGCCATGTACATAAATGGAATTTTCTAGGCAGAATGTAATGCCTAAGGAAAGAGCTTTGAGTTAACACTCATATTTAAGTGGCAATCTGAGAAAAGAAGCCCACTAAAAGAGACTACCACTGGATACTGAGGGCAATCAGAAAAAAATTAAATTACTGCAAACAAATAACTAACTGGAGGTGGAATTTTCAACAAGATTTTTTGGAGGCAATAAACTCTTTAGTGTAAAGAAAGGATACGCATGATTTAACAGAAAACAGAAAACAGAAAACATTTAGAGAAGAAAAGAGCATCAAGAAAACCCAAAAGTAGGAGTGATCAAATGGTAAAGGATTTTGACAAGGTAGAAGAGAGAATTACATGAAGGATGTAATTAAGCAGTAGCATAGTATACAGGGAGAGTTGATAGCTGTGCCTTTGAAAACCTGAAGATTGTCACTCGATACATGTGAACATGGTTAGAAGTTCATGCCAGGAATTTGCATGATTTTTAAATAGCATTTACAGAAAATTTCTAGCTCTTGTGAGAAGACTAAGTTGAGGTAGTGAGACCAGAAGCAGAAAAGTTAGGTAACAAATCTTCACAAAGTAAGCATGGTATGGACACATCAAGGAATAAGATCGGGGCCTAACCAAGGCAGTGGAAACAAAGTGCTTTATTATTTTGAAGCTTGAACAGTTTATATGCCACTCAGCAATTTAAGACAGACAAAACCTGAGCATTACTTCTACAAAATCATCTCTGAGAGGAGGGAGATTTTTATCTTCATTGCTATTCTCCCATAGCCTAGACCACAGTAGACACTCAAAATATATATATATATATATATGTTTATAATGAATACATTCATTGTGTTATCTAAAGCCTAGTATAAATTAATGTAAGGGACACATTTTTTAAATTAAATGAATAGTTTAACTGGACAAATATATACTAAGATAGCCAAAGAAGATATAACTATGATTTGGTAAAACTAAACATTAAGCAAAGTAGTTTCTTTTGAAAATTCTTTAAGTATAAAGGAGTTTAAAGGAAGTCTAGCACTTTCATACTACTCTTTTTTGAAAGATCATTCTGAAGAATGTATTCTTCATAATTTACTCTTGCATGAAAAGCTAAACATAGTAAAATGTTAGGTACAGTTTAGTAACTCTCAGGCACCCTGTATTTACTTCTATATTTTTCCAAAGGATACTCTGGCCCACTGAAGGAAATTCCTCCTGAGAGGTTCAACGCCACAGCTGTCCCTAAGTACTATCAGTCGCCCTGGGAACAGGCCATTGGCAGTGACCCAGAGCTTTTGGAGGCTTTATACCCTAAACTTTTCAAGCCTGAAGGAAAGGCAGAACTGCCTGACTACAGGAGCTTTAACAGGTAATTCATTATCCTGGGTGACAGTTTTGGCATGTAATATGAAGGTTTTTATATCATGGTATAGAGAGCTGAATTCTGTGATAGAAAAAAATTTTCTTTTAAAAATAGAATCAAGACAATACAGGGTAACTCCTTAGCCTAGGCAAGGTCTCATTTTCGCAATATTACCAATACACCAAACCTTGGTCTTTTTTTAGTATAAAACTGAAAAAAGTGGTCCAGAAATTATTACTGTTATAACATTATCTTTCACATTTGAAAATGTTATTTTAATAATAATTTCTCATTGAAAGGCTGGTATTAGTTTATGTGTTCAAATGACAATGCTATTCAAGAATTTCAGAAGTTGGAATTCACATATAGGATGACAGTGAGAATTACTGTGTAGCCCCAGTTTCCAGTTTACAATTTTATAAACCACATTAAAGGTAATTTATGAATTTATGGCCCAAGACTCCAGCACATGTACAAACCAAAACAAACATATACTATGAAAAATATTGCCAAATAAGATCTGCATTACAGTTTACACAATGGACATTTATTCTGCCCTGTTATTCATATTTTATACTTTCCGTGGGGATTTTAGATATATTTTAAATTGCATCATAATCCATTCTTAGATCATTTTATTTTCATTTTAGAGTAAAATATCCCTATTATGCTGTCTCATATGCACAAAAGGCAGACCCAATTTATAGGCTATTCATTTAAAAATTAATGAAAAGTAAATCTGATATACAGAAGAGTATCACAAAGGCGGCATTTAAATAGTGATCCTCTTTAGTACTTTGAAAATTATTGTACTATTAAAATCTTAGTTTTCACACCCTACTATAGCAATAGTATTAGTATTAATCTACTATTATTAATACATCTGTCAGTATTCTACCTAATACTATTAGCATTACTAGTAACACTATTTGTATTAGCACTACATCTATTGCACAAATGAAGTGAACCATACAATTTAAGGAGGAACTGAGGAGTGGCTCTGGGGGCCCATTCTAATCAATGATACAACTTATTTCTAAAGCAAGAGTGCAGAAAATTATAAATAGTTAAACTAGGAAAAAATAGAGAATGATGGGATACTTGAGGTTTATTTTTGAGCTAGTGTTTTAGAGATGCTGTGTGACTTCTGGTGTACCTTGCAGTTTCACTCTCTCATGCCTGTTGAGCAGCTTGCTTCCAGTTCTACAACCGTACTGGTGTATTTGGTTTGGTTATAAAGAAATGCTTATTGATTATGTAAATACCAAGTGAATGCTATTTATCAATGAACACAATTCAAAATGTGGTTCCCTGTGTTAAATCAAGGTCTTTGTAAATATAACAAATTGTGTGTTTGTGTGTGTGTGTGTGTGTGTGTGTGAGAGAGACAAAGAACTTCAACAACTATTAGATACATATATTTTTAAAGTAAAATGTAATAATAAATGTCATTTCCCCTTCTGTTTCTTAAATAATTCAATATATTAACAACAGAAAGAAAATAAGCAGTTTCCAAATATTCCTACAGTTCTTGCAAAGAGTGAAATGATATTATTTGGTAGCCCCACATTATTATACATAATCACTAGATACTGTTAATAAGGCATATAAGCATCAGATGCAGTCTAACAGTATTCAGCAATGATAACAGAAGTGAGAATTAGCTTCTAAGTCTAATCATAATTTCAAAATGGCTCATAATATAATACAACTTTGTATTCTTGTACTGTTTGAGTGTATTTTAAAATATTATATTTATATATTAAATAAACAGTATTAATAATAATATGCTAAAGTAAATTACTATATAATAATACTTTATTAAATATTGTATTAATAATATACTATATTAAATCCTTGTAACCCATGTGAGAAAAAGTAAAGTAGGAGCAAAGGTTTCAAGCTCTGCTTCAAAAAGCTTGTATGACTTTGAGTATGTCACCTAACCTCTCCCTGTATTAATTTCCTCATCTGTAAAATAAATCCTATGATGGTATGATAAAGTACTTTTAAACATATAACATATATTTTCTATTTAGTAAAATAATTTATTTTCTTTCCTTTTTTTAAGCAATGATAGCAGGTATCTATTTTCATTTTATGCAACCTTTTTATGTAATACTTTACCTTATAGAAAAGTTGGTAATTATTATGAGTGTATTATATGTCCAGCACTATTAATTTTTTACAAACACAATCCTATTACTGACCAATCAAAATAAACAAGAAAAGAAACATTTCTTAATTGCAAGTCTGAGTGAAATTGGCTTATTATTCACTATGTAGATGATAAAGTGTAAAAATCATTTTAAGTCAGATCTGTGTTTGAAGAATTTACGTTACGAGAATTATAAAGATACACAGTTATCTCTCAGAGAATATTCCATATATTTTAGTGGAAATTTTTGCTTTACTAACTTTGACTAAAACTCGAAACTATTTTTCAGAGATCTTAAAAAACTTACAAGTAGTCTCTCACTTTGAATGCCAAACATCTCTGTTAATGGACTTTCTTTACTTTATGTGCCAAGGGCAATGAAAATCCAAACAAACAGGATATAGTCTCAATGATGCCAAAGAAAAGAAAACTGCTTTTCAAAGAGCAAACTTTCATTGGATCAGTGGTAGGAGGTGGGAGATGGGTGATGAAACAGGAGGGAATGTTTTCATTTACAAGAGAAGAAAATGACCCACAAATTGGGAGGGAAAAACAAAAGAGGCGGATAAAAAGGAAAAAGCAATGCACTAAATGCCAAACCCAAATATTAAATTTCTGTGGCGGGGAACATTTCTTCTTTGCTTTAATATAGAAAAAATTAAAGAAATGAGTAAAATTCATTTCTGCAATTAAAAAATACAAGATTAATTGACAAAATTCAGCCTAAATCTTTAAGTGTTCAATTCCAGTCTCCTGTATCCAATGAGTAGCCATATACAGTATTCTTAAAATCCCAGGAATGGATTTGCAGCCTGTGCAACTGCATGATGGTCTCATGCTTTAAAGAGCTTATGCTTGATTTAATACTCTGCCATTTCTGTCTTAAAATTCTTAACCATTATTTTTTTTAACAAAGGGTCTTGAGTTTTCGTTTTGCACTGCACCCTACAAATTATGTGGGTGGTCCTGAACCCAGGCTCTAAGCTTAAGAAATGTTTCCTGAACCACCAGGCAGACTAGGATGCTTTTTACCCTAAACTCGTCTGCATTCAGGACATCCTTCCTTATCTTATTCCAGGATGTGCTGTTTTTACCTCATGTTTCACTGTTATCTGTGAGATCTACTACTATCTTTCCATCTTTGAATTCCCCACATAGCAGTGTCTAGACATAATAAGTAATCAGTAATTTGTTCTATGAATAAATAATAAGTAAATGAATCAACAAATGATATACTGATATGATTGCTAAATACTGTATCAGACTGTGGTTACAGCATCAGTCAAGTTATTATCTGTTATTATCTTCCACAGCAACTTGGGAAAAATACTATAAGGTCAGTCATCCTGAGAACAGATGCAGTAGAAAATAAAACATACTGCTCTCCAGAGTGCAACAAAAAAATTATGGGCCAACAAGACATGAGATTTTATGGTATATGGCACAGTTACAGCTGCTACAGCCATTACTGGGGTCATTTATCCACTCTGTGGACACTGACCTCACAGCAGATTTTATATGTCTTCCTCCCCAGTACTATTACTCCCCAGCACTATTGCTGTCACCAGCTTTTTTGGTGGCTTCAATATCCATGTACAGTCCATTGAACTCCCCACCCTTTCAAGTCCTTGACTATCTCACTTTTAAGGATAATTTTCTCAACCCCACCTCAGTCATTTTTGGCTTTTCTTAAAATTTGTCATTACTGAAACTTGTGTCACTTTCAAAAATCTCAACTTCCAGCATCCCATTCTCTATCACATTGTATCTTTACTTTTCATTTATTCTTTACTTCAATAAGGCTTCATCCATTCCATTTTTCAAAGTCCACTAATCACCTTCTCCTTATCAAAACAGACTCCATAGTTCCTCACTATCTCACACAGAAATCAAGATATTCAAGAAAGATGAGAGTGATTGAACTATGAAGAAAATCAATTCTCTTCCAGGCTTTAAAATAAGCTCCATATATTGGGGAATCTATATAGTCTTGTCAATTGCATTGTCCAAATGTTTATGAGGATTTTCTAAGTACAAGCAATACAATACAAAATTAGTTACAAATACAAAAATTCTCTTAGAGAGAATTTCAGTCCTCTTGGTGTACAGTATGGTAAGAAAGAAGGCAGAGATATCAATGCATATAATGAGGAATGGAAAATGAGGTTGCAGGGGAGGTAAAAATAGAGTTCATGGAAATTTAGGGAAGAAAGAGCTTACTTCTGGCTGTGGAAGATTAGGGAAAGCTTTAAGAAGAAAGTTATATGTTACTTAAATAACATACTGAGAATCTAATTGAAAGGAAATTTAAAAAATGTAGTAATAGAAGTCAGAGTACTCTGGGGCAAAAAAGAACGAGCAAAGGCAGGGAAGAGAGAGAGTGTAAGGGAAATGAGCAAGCAGTGCGGTCAGTTTAGCTGGAACGAAGGGTGCATGAAAGAGGGTAGGGATAAACCAGCATGACAGACCTTTCCCCTGGCATGTACAGAGATCATTTTTCCACCCACATATCACCCTTTCCTCACTGTCTCCCACCAGGCAGTTGCTAAATCTCTAAACCTAGGAGTAATCCTTGATTTCCATACTTCCCTTGCAAATTTTATCCATTTTAACAGCAAATCCTATTAATATCCCAAAACACATCCTAAAACAACCCACTTTCCCCATCTTCGTGGAACACTTGAAACTCAAGCTGCCATCCTGGCTCACTTGAATTGCAACAGTATCTTCCCTCCTTCCACTCTTGCCGTCTTCTAATCTGTTCACAGGGCATGCAGGCTGATCTTCATAAAAGTGTGATCAGATTACATCACTCCCCCTGTGGTCCCTGTGGTTCCCCTTCACACTTAGAACGAAATTCAATTTCTTACTTGAACGAAGTCCTACACAACCTGCCTCTCTGTCCTCTCTTCCTTCTTCCATCCCTCTCTCCTATTCATCTAGGCCTTCTTTCTTTTCCTGAAAGTACTTCCTTTCACGCCAACATTATTTCTGCCTGGGATTGTTGCATTAGCTCCTCCCTCTGCCTGGAACGCTGTGCTTCAGTCGTACATGGCTAACTTCTGACCTTCAGACGGCAGTGTAAACGTCAGTTCTACAGAGAAGTCTTTCCTGATTATCTATTCATTCAGTTATGGCATATTATATCATCTTATTTTAATTTTCTGCATAGCTCTTATCACTATTGGATGTTGTCTACAGTTTGTTTTTCTCTATTGTTTGCCTCCTTCACTACAGAAAAAAGCTCAGACTTTTGACTACATTGTTCACTGCTTTATCCCCAGCACTTAGAAATGTGCCTGGCACCAAATGAATAAATTAATTAATGGCTAAATCAAACAAAGCTAGAACATTATGTGAGGCCTTGAATGCCAAGATAGGAGTTGGACTTCATTCAGAAGACAAATAGAAGAATTTGGAGGTTTTGAAGTGGAGTGGAGTGTGAGAGCATAACAATAGTAGTGACAATTTAAAAGACATATTTCTTGTCCTCAAAGAATTTATAATTCACAGATGACCCAAACCAAACCATATTATGAAAAAAAAAATTGACTATACAAAGTACCATATCATAAGCACCAAGTGACTGACATAAAGCAATGGATGTGATAGGAATTTGGCTGAGGAAGGGAGTGTGGGTTGGGAAGCTGGAGGGAAGTTAGAATTTAAAGGCCACAGGACATACCCAGGTAGAGAGGAGGCTGGGAGGAAATATCTCAAGCTGGGGAAACATTGTTTGCAAAGGCACAGAGGCAAGAACTGTTTGCCATGAGCTCAGGGTAGAGGGAGTAGATTAGTTTAATCCAAAACTAAGAGTACATACAATGGGACCTTTCACCAGTTTATTATCAAATATCTGTTTTGCCATAAAAGCATAGTCCTTAAATGGAAATGTTTGCCTCAGAGGTCAACAACTGAAAACCACACTAAGAATATAACATAACAATATGCTCAAAATATCATGAATTATATTTACTATTTTCTGGCAGATAAATCTGAAAAATAATTAATACATTCTTTTTCTTTCCATTTCCCACAGAGTTGCCACCCCATTTGGAGGTTTTGAAAAAGCATCAAAAATGGTTAAATTCAAGGTTCCAGATTTTGAGCTGCTACTTCTAACAGATCCTAGGTTTATGGTCTTTGCCAATCCTCTTTCTGGCAGACGGTCCTTTAATAGGACTCCTAAGGGATGGATATCTGAGAATATTCCTATAGTGATAACAACTGAGCCTACAGAGGAAACCACTGTACCAGAATCAGAAGACCTATGAAAATAAAGTTACATGTGCCACAAAAACCACTGAACATAAATGTTACTGTTTTATTATCCTATTTACTGGCAAAGCCACTTGCACTCTTCATTAGTAGCAATAATTTAATAGCAGTTTAGCAATTTTCCTTTTATGGCATTTAATTTCAATCTCAGATCAAACACTAATAAACAATTCAAAATCTTGTTTTAAAAAATTTTAACTCACTTGTCTTTATTCATAAATTTGTTTTCCCCTGGTCTGAACTACCTGGCTGTTTCATTGAGAAAGTCTAGAAGAATAACTGAAAATAAAAGGTTTCAGATTTATTTCCTTTAGTATGAGATATTCCTGAGTTTTTCAAATAGAATCTAGAATTAAAATAGTATAAGTGCAAATATTTACACTCATTCAGAGTTTTATTTAAGGGATGAAAGTTGTGGAAGATAATGCACAAACATTATTGATGGAGAAAAGGATTTCCTTTTCTTCCATTCTGGTGACCATGATAAAATAAAATACCTAGAAGTCTTTTCATTAGTATTTTTCAACATGCTAACTCATTAGATAATTATTCCAGATGACATTCTCCAGAGTACAACTGAATTATTATATTCATTTAGTATGAAGTGAAGGAGACTGAGAGACAATGACTCAAGAATGTCATCCTACTAGTTTTAATGACCAAGATGTACTTGGAATTCAAGTTCCACAAGTCCCAAAGCTGTGTGTTGATTAAAGTCAACTTTATATATGCATTTTTAGAAGAGTAATAAAATATACACTAATACATTTGTAAATAAATTTTATATATATATATATATACACACACACACACACACATATATGAGAAAGGAAGAGTGTATAATTTGAATTGGCAACTTACTTTGCTGAATCTTTAAATTTTTCTCAATACCCTTAAGTACTAGGAAATATATGCAGTAACACACATAAAAAACCCCAAGAAATAAAAAAGCACAAAAGCATCTGAAAGTGGCATATGTCTATCAAGATATGTGAATACACTGGTATAAAAGATTCTAAAATAAAGTTATAGATATGTCTTAAAATATGATCGAGGAAGTATATAACATGGAGCTGGTAAGAAATAAGTATCAATTCTTCGAATTTCGATTTGTTTAAGTGTTCTGTGAAAAATGTTTACACTAGAAAAGAAATATCTCATTCCTAGAGAACTATGTACTAGATTAAGTTTAGGAGAAAGGAAGAAGGAGAGTGTATAGTAAAGAAATGCCACATGGCAACATTACATATTACAAAAGAATCTGTGAATGTGGTGTTAAAATTGGTGGTTGTTTTAATAATACTCCAGACTTGTAAGTAGAGAAATTTTTTAAAAATTTCTTATGAAAAAAGCAATCCCTAGAAAGTACCAATATCAAAGCATTGCATCTATAGAATACAAAAATTTCAGGGAATTTATATAATTTAAAATACATATAATCTTAGTTTTATTTATGTTTTAGTGTTTACATGTATTAAAATAATATTGTTATCTGTGATAAACTCTAGATATGAAGTTCCCATCATACCATTTTTATTCATTTTAATCTTTTAAAAAATGAAAATCAGTCATATTCTATTATGTATTTTGATAACATGGTTTAGTTTTTTTGTTAGCAGTTTGAAATGTTTACTGTTTTTCATTAAATTAAAATTTTAATGCATGACTTCCACTATTTCCAAATAGTCAAACTCTATACTCAGTGCCACTATTCTGTCAACCACCAAAAAGTGGGGGCCAGCAATTAAATATGTTAGCTATAGGACTGTACCTCTACCCCCAGTACTGTAGGAGAATATCCAAAAAGGGAGAGTTCTAAGGTTTTTCTTTTGAGTGGGTAGAAAATGATGTAGTAACTCTCTGTTTACTATTATATTTCTTCCTTTACTGGAAGTGCCTATTAATTCTAACTCAGCTATCTGACACCTTTAGAAATGCCAAAATTTCACACTCTGGTTCCTACATGATTGAGAATTCAAAAGGAATTCTGAGTAGGTTTTCCACTGACCTGAAAAGCAGCTAAATCATTCAAAGCCTGAAGAAATATGATAGTACTTTTAGAATAGCAGAAAGAGTATGGCATTTTTTTCCACTCACATTTGTATACATGAAAAATGGAATAAAGGAGAGACAAAGTTAAAAGAAAAAATAAAGGGATGAATATAACATTTGGGGATGGATGACTGAAGACCAGACTCTGTCCTCACTGTATTATACAAGTTCTTTAATACAGACTTTTAATATTATTTTATTTTTCACAATTATCCCATGAGGAAGTTATCATAAATAATCTCCATTTTATATAGGAAAATTCAGCCTCAGAGAACTAGGGCAATTAGCTTAATTCTAGTTCAAAAGGGAAAGAACTTGAGCCTGACTCTAAAATACATGCTTTAAGAACTCATGGTTCATAACTTCTCTTTCAGCATCAAATTCAGCCTTATTTTATTATGTCTAGACAAAATAATAAAAAACTCCGTATCTTAATTTGGAGCAAATACAGCTAAAATTGTGTAATTTTAGAGTCGCCCTTCAAAGTCATTCAAGTACTTGTGATCAGAGAAAGCTGAACTTTCAGACTATGTTGAAAGTGAACTAAACAAAACAAGCAACATGCATGTTTAATCTGATATTAGAGAAACACAAGAGTGTACTGATTAAATGTGCTCATTTCTGCTCAGGACTGTCTATCCACCTTTTTGATCTATGTGATCCTTTTCTTTCCCCTGTAAGGACAAAGAAAGGGAAAAGAAGAGAAAATACCAAGAAATAAATGCATGACACTAATAAGCCATAAGGCTGAAAGAGATCACCTAGTGTGATAACACACCAAGCTATTCCTTTAAATGGAAATATTTTCTACTTTTCAGAACTTGAGAGAGAACTCTCTCAATTTTCATTATACTGTTCTACAGACTTCTAGGACATGAATTATATCTATTTTGTTTAAGTCAATTTCATGATAACCAACTGGCAAATTGTTCTCTACAGAATAACTAAAGCTATCATTAAAAAGATCACTCTTGGCTTTTAATTCTCCACTCCCTTAAATTATTTCTCAAAGTTAGTATATTCCATTCCTTAACTAAGTATTTGAAAGGGCTTGATAATTAAAATACTGAATTCCTGGTTATTATAAAATGAAGGCAAATACAGACAATTTTTTAGTCAAAATGATCATTATTGTACCCATTTAAAATTGTACATTTCCCAAATAGACCCATTTATAAATGTTTTTAGCAGCTTGGAAATGTGGGGAATGAATTATTCTTGCAAAAGCTAATGTGGAGCAAAATGTCCAGTCGTGAGTATGAAAAGAACATCCTGAACTTTGTAGTGCAGGGCACAGCTGTACCAGCAGACTTATTAATTCTGGAATTTCCTCACTCTGCTGCTTATGCAAGATAAAACTTATATGACATCATTGCAGTTTCTCAGCCACAACTGCTTTTCATTAAGCTTAGGAAAGTGTTGCTTTGAATGCCCTTCTTCTTATGAAAAATACTTTCAACCTCCACATGCTGTAGGACGAAGGGTCCTTACTTTCTATGAAAGGTGGAAGAGTGCCAGCTTTCGCTGAAAGAACAAGCAAGGAGAATCTATTCTAAACTAACTAATTAAAGCACCTCACAAATATATCAAAGACTTTTTAGAATATTTTAATGCTTATAAAAGTTAAACATTCCAGAACAAAGAAAAACATTAAAATCGTATAAGGATTTCAATGGCTAAAGTTGATATGTTATTAGATAAATAAAAGTGTGTGTCCTTATTTGAATTCCTTAAATAGAAGAGCTAGATTTCAACCCAGGATATAAACTTTCCCTGCTTTCTCAATGTAATGTGATTTCAATAGGAAGATTTGACACACATGGGCAAAGTGGGGGGGGGGGGTGCTGCTTCTAAGAGATTGTAGTTCAAAACAGAAAAGAAAGTGCTTATTATTCTGTATTGTATATTTTGAAAAACATTTCCATGTGACAATTTAGGCAGTGTAGGAGATGGAGACTTTTCAGTAAATAGAACTAGAAAAAGTTAGAAGGAAGAAAGATAAATTCAATGTGATACCTTATTTTAAAACTGCTGATTGAAGAATTAGTACAGAAGCTGCAGCACTAGCAAAATCAATATAAAAGAACAGGGAGAGGGGAAATGCCAGAATGAAGTAGCCTGAAAGGAAAATACAAGGTAGACTGTACAGAAGCTATTTGGGCTATTCTATGGTTTCTGGAGACTTTTCCTCACTTCTTTTGAAGTACAGTTGACCTTTGAACAACTCGGGGCTTAGAGGTGCCAACCCCCACAAAATCCCCATATAACCTTTGACTCTCCAAACTTAATTACTAAGAGGTTACTGTTCACCAGAAAGAAGCCTTACCAATAAACTAAACAGTCAAAAAACATGTATTTTGTATGTTATATGTGTTACATACTGTATTCTTGAAATAAAGAGAAATGAAAATGTTTCAAAGTCACAGACCTTCAAAACATTTTCCAAGATATTTATTGGAAAAAATTGATGTATAAGTGGGACCACACAGTTCAAACCTGGGTTGTTCAAGGTCAACTGCATGTAGTTTTGTTCTACATATCTACAATAGTCTGACATGAGTTGTTAACCCAAATTGATGCATTACCTTTCATTATCATCACTTACTTACAAATAACATATAAAAGTAGTTGTTTTGAAGGTGCCAGCTATCTGCTGACCTACCACAAATCAGAGATATAATCTCAAGAATTCATTCTGTAAGTCACAGTTTTCTCTTTCAGTGGCTTGAATGCCACTTCTGCCTGAGACTTTCCCTGACCATCCTTATTTTAGATAGCACATTTCTAAGCCCTTATCGTGCTTTTATTTTTCTTTATAGCACTTGTTACTCCCTAATGTACTGTGTCACTCTGGGTCTTTTGAGAAGCAGATGGTAAGATGGGGCTAAACCAACAAGAATTTTTTAAAGAAAAAAAGCCCATGTGAGTGAAAATTTGGAAGGAGTCA